GCGAAACCAAATGTTAGAAGAAACAGAGGAGAATACTTTTTTCTTGACCTTGGAGTGAGGCAGAATTTCTTCCATGAGACCCAAAACATAAACCATAAAGGAAGTGCTGAACACATTTCATTTCATTAAACATGAGTTAGTCTGCTCAGGCTGCCACAACAAATACCATAAACTGGGTGGCTTAAAAACAGAAATGTACTTCTCACAGTTCTGGGGGCTGGAAGTCCAAGATCAGGGGGCCAGCGTGGTCCAGTTCTGACGAGGGCTCTCCTCAACAGACATTAGGCTGTGGTTCCTGCAGGCAGCGGCCTCCTCACTGGGTCCTCACATGGCCGAGGGAGGGAGGGAGAGAGAAGGGGAGGAGAGAGAAGAGGGAGAGAGGGAGAGAACAAGCTCTCTGGCCTCTTATAAGGGCACTAATCCCAATATGGGGGCACCACCCTCATGACCTCATCTAAACCTAATTACTCCCCAAAGACCCCCCCTTCCTAATACCATTAGAGCTTCAACACACGAACGGGGGGGGGGGGGGGGGGGGGACACAATTCAGTCCACAGCAGTAGCCAACTGTGAAAAACATTTATAAGACAACTAGGGACAAATTATCTGACTAGATATTTGCTGTTATTGAGAATTATTGTTAATGGGCAGGTGGAAATAACAGTATTGCAGTTATGTTTGATTTTTTTTAATGAGTCCTTATCTTTTAGAGCCACGTGCTGATGTCCATACAGATGACCAGTGTCTGGGATCTGCTTCACAAACGCCCAGTGAGGGGTAGGGGTGGGGGAGAGTGTCCGTGAGATTTTCCACAACAAAAGACTTTAAAATTTGTATTAAAACTTTACACCCTACAAGATAAAAATCTCCATAAACAAAGTGAGGAAACAAGATACAGACTAGAAGAAGATACTATTCTCAAAGCAGAGGACTTAGTATCTAAACAAAATATAGGAAGAATTCTTAGAAATAAACAAGAAAAAGGGGCTGGCCCCGTGGCTGAGTGGTTAAGTTCGCGCGCTCCGCTGCAGGCGGCCCAGTGTTTCGTTGGTTCGAATCCTGGGCGCGGACATGGCACTGCTCATCAAACCACGCTGAGGCGGCATCCCACATGCCACAACTAGAAGGACCCACAACGAAGAATATACAACTATGTACTGGGGGGCTTTGGGGAGAAAAAAGGAAAAAATAAAATCTTTAAAAAAAAAAAAAAAAAGAAAGAAATAAACAAGAAAAAGACAAGCCCAATAGAAAAATGCTCCGAAGATATGAACGGGCACTTTACAAAAGGGAACACCTGGATGGCCCATCAACACATGAAAAGATCCTCAACTTCACTGGTATTTAAGGAAATTACACCAAGAACAACAATGAGATACCATTTTACATCTTGCAGATTTGCTACAAATCTGTTAAACCCAAGAGACGGTGCCCAGATAAGGAAATGAGAGGGAGTGTAAATTAATACAAACTCTGGCAAGCAGCCCGGTTAGGTCACTGACAGAGACACGCTTAACCCAGGAATGCCAGGACTGGGCATATTCCCTAGAGAAGCTCACATTGTGTGTGTGTGTGTGTGTGTGTGTGTGTGTGTGTGTGTGTGCATGCACCCATGCAATGATTATGGAAGATTGCTCTTGGTGGCACAGATATAATAGCAACAATTGAAAGCAATCTAACTGACCATCAGAAGAACGGGATACACTGTGATTTATTTATTGTTGTGGGTTGAATTGTGTCCCCCCAAAAAATACATTCAAGTCCTAGTCCCCAGAACCTGTGAATGTGCCCTCATTTGGAAATAGGGTCTTCACAGAGGTCATCAAGTTAAAATGAGATCATCCTGGATGAGGGGGCTGCTAATCTAATTAATGACTGATATCCTTATAAGAAGAGGGAAATCTGGATACAGAGGCAGACACACAGGAGAGAAGGCCATGTGTAGACAGAGGCAGGTTGTAGTGAGGCATCCACAAGCCAAGGATTGCCAGCAACCACCAGGAGCTAGGAGGGAGGCAAGGAAGCGAGACCTCACAGGTTTCAGAAAGAGCGCAGCCCTGCCAACACCTCATTTCGGACTTCTGGCCTCCAGAACCATGAGAGAATAAAGTTCTGTCGCCTTAAGCCACCCAATTTGTGGTAATTTGTTACGGCAGCCCTAGGAGAGAAACGCATTCATAAAAAGAATATTGTACAGCAGTTCAATGTGAATAAACTACATGTGTACTTATTAACATGATAAATCTCAAAAACATAGCACTATATAAAAGGACAATGGCTTTTTTGATGCTAAGTAAATCCTAAAACCCCCAAATAGTACATACTTTATCAATAAATATACTGTAGTAAAACTATATAGTGTGTGAGAATAAAACACCACCATTGAACAGTGGTTACTGGGCGAAGGGTGGCGACTGCTGGCTTTTTTTTTCCTGATTGGCTCTGAGCTAACATCTGTTGCCGATCTTCTTCTTTTTTTCTTCTTCTCCCCAAAGCCCCCCAGTATGTAGTTGCATATTCTAGTTGTAGGTTCTCTGGTTGTGCTCTTTGGGACGCTGACTCAGCACGGCTTGATGAGCGGTGCCATGTCTGCGCCCAGGATCCGAACAAGCAAAACCCTGGGCGGCTAAAGCAGATCGCACGAACTTAACCGCTCGCCCAGGGGACCGGCCCAAGACTGCTGGCTTTAATTGTATTTGTTAAATTTTATTTCTTTAAAAAGTTTTGATGTGAAGTACATAAGACAAAATATTAATATCTTTTAAATCTGGATCCTGTGAATATGGGTGGCTATTATATTATTTCCTGTACTTTCCAGAATGTTCTAAATGTTCGTAACTAGAAATAAAATAACTAAACTTTAAGGAAAGAAAAATTAAGAGCTAGTCACTTGATCAAAGAAATTTTGACTCTATTTTTCATAAGCTACATTATAGAACTATTCTTCATAAAAGAAGTCAGAACAATCCAGTATCAGCAGCAGTAAATTTTACACCCCACTGCACACTACTTCTCGAGAACCCACTCCTTAGGCAGATTCTTACCTGGGCTGTCCGACGAGAATGCGGAGACCACAGGAAATCCTGGCCGTTTCAAAGCAGCCTTGAATATGAACCTTTTACTTTACCTTCAGTTGATACCTACTTTCCAAAAGGAAAGTTTACAGCCAGGAGAGCCGCCCACTGGACTGACCGGGCAAGGGTACTCCCCTGCGGAAAGGGGTGGTGGCCAGGAGTGGCTGCATGTGTCTGATCACCCTTGTTTTCTGCAAGAATGCTGTCAGTTTTAGCTGGAATCCCCTTACCCCTGATGTTTCCTCAGTAATTCTCCATCCACTGTCCCCTACTTTGCTCCATGGGTATAAATTCCCACTTCTTGTTGTATTCAGAGTTGAACCCAGTCTCTCTCCTCCACTGTAAAACCCCACCGCGGTGGTCCCCACACCTATCACAAGGGTGCTGATAAGGTCTGCCTCCCTGTTCTTAAGCAAGTGTCATGAATGAGTAATTTTTTCTTCCACACCCTGCAGCCCTGTTTCTCACAGCAAGTGCCTCCACAAGATTACAAATGAAGAACCCATGAGGATCACTGATGCGTGTTCAACCTCCAAATTCCAAGGAGCTGCCTGTCCCCCCCCTTCGCCTAAAGGGTAACCTCCTGGGCCATTTCTTCACTCCATATAAATTTGTGCTTCTTGACTTTTCTGAACCAGTTATAACATCTGCTTGGTTCCCTCTTAAATGAATAAAACAGAATCTTTAACACGTGCTCATTTTTATATCTGTATGGGAGTCGTGATTTTTCCTTTCGCAGAAAATTATCTTTTAACAGTGTAATTGAACAACATTCCTTTTCCCACTGGAAGTCAGAAAGGCGAGAAATGGGTGGTAAAGTATGGCCGAGCGAGCGTGGTTTTCCTGCCTTCATACCCCAAGGATTTAAATAACTCGGAAGTCAGACTTCCCAATGCAATAAAGCCCTCCAACGGAAATAAAGGAAACAGATTTTGAAGAGTGAAGGGGATTGGCGTAGATGGGATTGTAACAAGCAAAGGAACCTCGGAATAAACTGCTGGAAGCTTTAGAGATTTAGAAATGGAAGGCACCTGCAAGCTGAACAAAGGCTAAAGTGAGATAATACAGAAAGGCGGTGGCTACTGGGGAAGGCTCCGTGTTTTTCCTTTACTAGTAAACACTGAATGAACCTGCATGGCAATCGATTTTCAATCTGGCAGTGGGGAAAGCAGGGCCCCACTTATCCTCAGAAGATTATGTGAATGTCAACAACTCAAAATATTTATTTCTTAGCAATCATGCTGTCTTTTCATAGGGTGTGTGGTCTAGGCAGCACGAATTAGAAAGTAGATGTGACAAGCACACATGGGCTTGTGTACATGCCACGTGGCTGCCTTGGCCTTTTCTCCGGCTGTTCCGAGGGCTGGATGGCATTTCCCCAGAATCCCGCAGGCAGGGCTCACTTCTGACCACCTTATTTTAAATGGGCTTTGAAAACAACAGGTGGCATTTTCCATCAGCAAGAAAACCTAAATGGCAGTACCCAGTGTTAGCAGGGCCTGGGAGGGGTGACACCTTCGCCCCCCTCGGACCCAGATGGCTGTGGGTGTGAATTGTATAGTCTTGCTTGAATACACATACCCAGCATCCAGGAGGCCACACTCCTAGACCCACTGCCTGCTCTCTTAATATCCATCCTTAAAAAATTCTCCTAAATGTGGATAATGACCTTGATGCAAATATGCTCAATTTTCCCCATAGTTTTATATTAGCAGCAAAAACTATACAACCAAAATGTTCAACTGTAGGAAAATAGTTACAAAGAGTTCATAAACAGTATGATTTCAACTTTGTTTCAAAAATGCATAGCTAACCAAGACCAGAAAACACACCAAAGTGGGTGGCGGGGGTTGCTTTTTCTGCAACAACAGTGTCCTGCTTGCATAAGAGTCAGGGTTTGAAAATGGACTTTGAAAGGCTCATTACCTGTGCACACGGCAAAGACCTCCTTTGCCTCGTGCAAACACACGTGCGAGTTAGAGCCGAGCAGAGCTCCCTGCGCGTTTGTGGGCCCCGTGAAGCGCACGTACCTCGTCCCGCCGCCTGAAGCTGCTGTCTGCCCGCGCCGAGGAGGAGGGCGGCCGCAGAGGGCAGCGCCGCGGCCCGGCCGAGCCCTGGGCCACGGTCGGGGGCCTGCCGAGGGGGAGGTGCCTCCTTCCCGGACAGACGGAAGTGGACGCCGTGAGGGAGGGCGGCGGGATCCCCGCGGGCCAGTGGCTGTCCAGGATTCCCAGCCTCCCGGGAAGGCAGGAGTCCAAGGGGTGGGGGTGGGGCGCAGGGAGAGGGAAGAGGAGAAGGGGGGAGAGCGCGGGGGAACTAGGAAGGAGGCGAGAAGGGAGGAGGGAGGGAGAGGAGAGGAGAGGAGAGGAGGGGGGAAGGAGCGGGGAGGGAGAGGGAGGGAGGGGGAGGGAGGATTGCAGAAGGACAGCTGGCCTGTGAAATTTACCTAGCTGCCTGGGTGCTTGGACCTTTAACTTCTTTGTTGTAAGTCAAAATTAGGCTGTTTTTAAAAATAAATTATTACCTATTCATACTGCCCTCCTCTTCCCCCCACTCCATATTTTGTCTGGTCTTCTGACTAAAGTGGTGATCACCAATTCAACTGGCTACAGAAGAAGGTTAAGAAGGACCCCAGGAAGAAATGTGATTAGGAAAGTCACTGACTACCGGTAAGGAACAGCCGCTTCCTGACGCCACAAGAACTGAACCAAAAAACTTACCACCCGAAAGACAGAACCTTATTAATTTAGGTGCTTCTAATTGGAAAATGTGTGAATTCAGATTGAGGGTGACCTTTTCCTTAAGAGATCTTTTCTCCAGAGAGGTGGCAAATCAATAATATAAAAAGGTGATGTGGGTGCCGGCCAGGTGGCGTAGCCATTGGTTTCGTGGCTCCGCTTGAGCAGCCCAGGATTCACCAGTTTGGATCCAGGGCGGGGACATCCGTGCCGCCCATCAAGCCATGCTGTGGCAGGCATCCCACATATAAAGTGGAGGAAGATGGGCCCGGATGTTAGCTCAGGGCTAATCTTACTAAAAAAAAAAAAAAAAAAAAAAGATGGAGTAAGATTTGTGAGACTTTAACAATCCAACTGTTAAAAGGTAATTTTTAGAAAAACGTAAAATCATGATGCTCACACAGATATGAAAATGACACGTGTTAAAGATTTTATTCTACTCGTTAACTAAGGAAACCAGGAAGATGTTAAAACTGGCTCAAAGGAAAGTCAAAAAAAGCTCATATTTATATGGAGTTAAGGAAAGTGCAGGTGAGGCAAAACTGGCTTTTTTTCCACAGGATGGGGAAGGTGGTCAATGAAACTTCATCAGGACAGAATTTGCTTGTCTATCATTTATCTATAACTTACTGAATTGTAAAATAGCTCCAAGACATCGAAAGACAAGAATCGGATAGTCTGGAGGACGTCCTCTAGACAAGCAGAGTTTTCCATCAAAATACAAAATTGTTTCTATAAGACTGGTTTTAAGCATCTTCCAGTGTTTTGGAAGTACCATTTACGTGGAAAGACGAGATATGACTAATTACACATCATTTTTCTCTGTTCTCTGAATTTAGCTCCTCAAGCACCACTGCTGACTTATTTAATAACACTTATTAATATGAGGGATTTCATATTCTCAAGACTCTATGACTTGCTACAGTTTGCTGTTCCAGTGTTAAATTTATGCATATACTTAAAAGTATAAAAAAAAAAGTTGCCTCCTGATCAGTCTCAACTGGCAAGGTTGTGCTGTAGATTCAAATTTTATGAGACAGCTCTATATTATGAAATACACCTCTGCCACAGCACTCAAAACAATTTATGTCTACCGTTTTTCCACCTGTTTTCTTAAAACTATCACACAGATCCCTCCTACATTCTACTCATTGTCTTAACTCACACCTTCCGCTTGAGCCAGGCTGGAATCGTCCTTTCTGCCCCTTCCTTCCGTGGTTTTCCCACTTTGGGAAAGGCAGAGGGCTGCCCTCTCTCTTTCCATTTATGCAAAACTCTCCAGCTTTTAGAATTCTCCGTGAAGCTTGCCTGAGTGCTTTGACTCTTTTGACATTCCTTCATCTGCATTCCCAAAAAAACGGTTCCTTAGGCATTTTGTACTACGAACTGGGTCGCTGGATCATGCATCATCTTCCGGTTGATGAAAGCCTTGTTTTCACTGCTGTGGTGACCTTTCCCCAGACAGAGGCTGTGGGTAGTCTTCCCTTAAAACACCAGAGCTCCATGAGTGGATGCCTCCTATTCCTGTCTCTTTGTGTTAAACCAAAGATGAGTCCCTTCTCTTTGGACTCAGTTTCCTTAACTATAAAATTACAGCTTAGGGGCTGGCTGGATGGCATAGTAGTTAAGTTCACACCTTCCACTTCGGCGGCCCAGGGTTTGCAGGTTCGGATCCTGGGCACAGGCCTATACATCAATCATCAAGCCATGCTGTGGCAGGGTCCCATGTACAAAATAGAGGAAAATTGGCACGGTTGTTAGCTCAGCGATAGTCTTCCTCTACCAAAAAGAGGAAAATTGGCAACAGATGTTAACTCAGGGCCAATCTTCCTCACACACACAAAAAATGAGGGCTTAGACTAGATTCTGTTCTCAAACTTTATCACATGTCAGAATCCCCTGGAGGGTTTGTTAAGCCAGAGTGCTGGGACAAAACCACAGAGCCTATGTTTCATGAGGTCCAGGTGGACCTTAAGAATTTGCATGTCCAGCAAGATTCTGGGTGATGACACTGGTGCTCCTGGTTCAAGGACAGCACTTTGAGAACCGCTAGACCACAATCACGGTGACTAGCAAATCCACTCAGCTGATCACCAAAAACCACCTGGGAACTTGTAAAATTCAGGTGTCCTGAGCTCAGACCTACTGAACCAGAGTCTTTAGGGGTGGCACTAGGGAATTCCTACTTCAAAAAAGCTCCTCAGGGGGCCGGCCCCGTGGCGCAGCAGTTAAGTGTGCGCGTTCCTCTTCAGCAGCCCGGGGTTCACCGGTTCGGATCCCGGGTGCGGACATGGCACCACTGGGCAAGCCATGCTGTGGCAGGCGTCCCACATATAAAGTAGATGAAGATGGGCACGGATGTTAGCTCAGGGCCAGTCTTCCTCATCAAAAAAAGGAGGATTGGCAGCAGATGTTAGCTCAGAGCTAAGCTTCCCCCCAAAAAAAATTTAAAAATCTCCTCAGATGATTCTTATGATGGACCAAGTTTAGGACCCAATTGAACTAGATAATCTGTGCATGCCATGTCAGTGTTAACCTTCCATGATTTTTTTTTTTATAGGTTTAGCAAGAGAGGCCCAGCTGGAGGAGGGCAGGTGCAACTATCAGGACAGACTATCCCTTAGAGCTCCATCAAACTGGAAAGATACAAGAAAAGGGAATTCTGGGAAATATGACTCAGCCTAGCCAAGTGGGCATGTTACAAAGCCATCATACCTTCCGGTCCTCCCACTGCAAAGGTGTTGTCTGCTAGAGGTACACTGACTGACCATCCACAGTACCCTCCACATCCCAGTTGGAAACACCTGCAATCAAGTTATTTTACTACCTTGGGATTTCTCCAAAATAGTGGGTAGGTATTTCTTTTTAAATAGCTGAATACTTAAGTCACCCAAGTGTTATCACCGAGAACAAATTGAGGGCCCACAGGAAACGTAATTTCTTGTTTCTATCTAAAAATGCACCAACTGCTGGCAACACCCAACATGGCAGTTTTTCAGCTTCACCAATTTTAGTTCCAAATTCCTCTGGAAAATTCATCACACAAGTTAATATTTAACTCAAGCTCGATAAAAAATATAATAAAAGTTACATTTTTATAGAGAGTCTTAGCATAAATGAACACTGGGATTTCACAGAGTTCCTTAATAAATTAAAGAGCTATGCCTCAGCGGTCACAGCTGGTTATCCCTCCAAAGCTGTTTTATTTTTTGTTATGAAATAAGGAACTACATTCCAGGAACTGAAGGAGCCCAAGCTGAATTAACAAACGGGCCAAAGGCAAAGTTAAGCAAGACTGCTGACTTGCAAAAACCCTGTGCTTAACACTGACCTTGAAGGCAAGGTCAGGACAAGGATTCCATGGAACTGCTCCTCTAAAGGAATTTTGGAACAAAATCAGAAAAAGTGCTGGTGTGTTTCAGAAGATCTCAAAATAATACCTGAGGGGGACCATATTCCAGTTCATCTGTTACCATTTATGGGACCATGTTGCTGATTCAGCGCCCCCGCCCATTGAATGCAGTAGGCAGCCAGCTGCGAAAGTACTGTCTTTTTTTTCCCTTTTTTCTCCCAAAGCCCCCCAGGACACAGTTGTATATATTTTTTAGTTGTGGGTCCTTCTAGTTGTGGCATGTGGGACGTCGCCTCAGCGTGGCCTGATGAGCGGTGCCATGTCCATGCCCAGTATTCAAACCAGCGAAACCCTGGGCCGCTGAAGCAGAGTGCTCGAACTCAACCACTCGGCCACGGGGCCAGCCCCCAGTACTGAGTCTTGAGTGCAGGGCCGGCTTTGTCGGTGAAGACAGGTCAGAAGCCCAGGTAGAAAAGAAAGTAATCATTTGTAGAAGATTCCTGAGCCAGTAAGCCATCTTGTCACTCCCAGACAGAAAGCCTACATTAGGTTTGTTTTTTTTTTTACCTTTTGTTACAGAAATTTACAAATGTATAGAAAAGTAGAAAGAAGAGTACAGGGGTCGGCCAGTGGTGTGGAGGTGAAGATCACCCACTCCGCTTTGGCAGCCCAGGGTTCACGGGCTCAGATCCTGGGTGCAGACCTACGCACTGCTGTCAAGCCATGCTGGTAGCATCCTACATAGAACTGCTAGAAGGACTTACAACTGGGATATAGAACTATGTACTGGGGCTTTGGGTGAAAAAAAAAAAAAAAAGAGGAAGATTGGCAACAGATGTTAGCTCAGGGCCAATCTTCAAAAAAAAGAAAAGAAAAGAAAGAAGAGTACTATAAACTCCTCTATATCCCAGACCTAGATATATTGTTAATATTTTGCTAAATTTGCTTCATAAACTTCTTTGCTGCAGTATGTAAATTATAGACAACATGACATTTGGCCCCTAAAAAGTTTGTGGTAGTCAGCCTCCAAGATGACCCGTAATGCTCCCCGCCTCTGAGAATTCACGCCCTTAGATAGTCTCCCACATTGTACAGGGTGAGTCTGTGTGACCAACAGAAAACGACATAGTGATGGTATGTATCTTCCGTATTAAGTTATAAAAGACACTGTGGTTTCCGTCTTGCATTCTTTCTCTGTCTCTGATCATTTTCTCCAGGGGAAGTCAGCTGCCACGTTATGAGTGGCGTCGTGGAGAGGCCCGTGTGGTTAAGGAAGCCTCTGACCCACAGCCACATGCCTGGGCCATCATGGACATGGATCTCCAGCCCCCGTCAAGTTTTAGATGATCTCAACCCCTGCCAAGACCTTAATGGTAACGTCCTGAGACAGCCTGCTTCAGACCCACCTGGCTAAGCCACTTCCAGATTTCTGACCCTCAGAAAATGTGCAAGATAATAATTTCTGTTGTTTTAAGATGCTAAGTTTTGGGCTAAATTGTTACTCAGCAATAGACAGTTCGTACACATTTTGACACTTGCAAGTGGGGTGCTGTTGTGACAAAACCCTGAAATATGGGAGTGGCTGTGGAACTTGGCAGCAGGCTCTGTTGACAGTGTTAGTGAAGTGCTTGAAGTATCTTAAAGAAGCTGTTAATAAAACAGTCAAGGTCTTTAAAGGTTCGGGTGAGAGCTTGCAGGAAAGTGAGAGAAATGCTATTAGAAACTGAAAGAAGGGGATCCTCGTAATGCTGTTGCCTGCAGTTGCACGGACAGAAGAAAACATACCTGATGAACTCGAGGTCTAGTTAGGGAGATTTTGAGCCAAAGTGTTGAACGGGCTGCCTGGTTTCTTCTAGTTGCTTACAGGAAGCCGCCAGAGGAGACAGAGAAATGAAAGGAAGGGCTGTTAAGCAGAAAGGAGCTGGGGTTGGATGGCTTTGAAAATTCTCAGCCTTTCCAGATGGCAAATTATGCTACAATTAAGGAATGCTCCCAAGCAAAGATCAAACTCAGGGCCCTGCCAGAAAAACTGTGGTGCAACGATAAATCCTAGCGTGTGCCTATTAAATCATTTTTAAAGGATTTCAGAAAGATATAAGGCGGTACCCCCAGACTACGACTCGGTCAGACAAAAGGCCCTCTACAGAGATTAAAGGTGTGCCCTACGCCATGGTCTGAATGTTTGTGACCCCCCCAAATTCCTATGTTGAAATCCTAATCCCCAAAGCGATGGTGTTAGGAGGTAGGGACTTTGGGAGGTGATCAGGTCAGGAGGGTGCAGCCTCTCTGAATGGGATTAGAGCTCTTATAAGAGACCTCATAGAGCTCCCTGGCCCCTTCACTACGTGAGGATACAACAAGGAGTCTTCAGCCTGGAAGAGAGTCCTCACCTTACCATGCTGGCACCCTGATCCCAGACTTCCAGCCTCCAGAGCTGTGGGAAATGAATTTCAGTTGTTTATAAACTACCCAGCTTGTGGTGTTCTGCTGTAGCAGCCTGCACAGACTAAGACGCTCTCAGACCCTTTCAGTCAAAGGATGGTGCTCCCAGAAAGCTGAGCTATGTTGCCCCTCAGCTGTCTGCAGAAGCCTAAGGTGGAAAGGGGCTTATCTCAGAGATGTGTGCTGCCTTTGTCTGATGGAGCGGATCCCAACGACATTTACAGAAAATTCATGAAGTTTTTAAGAGAATTATATGGACAGAATCATCACCAGCTTGGACTAAAAGGGACAGAGGCAGTACAAAAGAAAAAGAGGCCTTAGAACCCTCAAAATTCTCCTGGCAGGAAGCGGGCTGAGAATATCACTCAGCTGCAAATGCGTGTCTTTCACAAAAATGGAAGGATGACTCATGGGGAGGGATCAAGAGCCTAGAAGGGGCAGAGCCCAGAGCCTTGGAGTGTAGTTCCCAAGCCTTGAGACATATTACAATATTTACAACATTTGCCTGGCTAGATTCTAGAATCTACATGGACCAACAACTTCTTCACGGCTCTCATTTCCTCTCTTTTTTGAGCAGGAGTGTCTGGAGTGGTTGTTCTATGTCTGTCCCATTATATGTTCAGTGGGGGAGAGTGCTGTGGACTGAATGTTTGTGTCTCCTCAAAATTCATATGGTGAAACCCTAACCCCCATGTAATGCTATTTGGAAATGGAGCCTTTAGAGGTAATTACAGAAGAGACCAGAAAGCTAGCTCTCTCTCTGCCATGTGAGGATAGAGCACGCAGGCAGCCATCTCCAAGCCAGGAAGAGTCTTCAGCAGAACTCAACCATACTGGTACCCTGATCTTGGACTTGCAGCCTCTACAACTGTGAGAAATAGATGTCTGTTGTGTAAACCTCCCAATCTATGGTATTTCGTTATAGCAGCCCAACTGACTCATACAGAGAGAGGGAGGCAGATAACCTGTCAAGAAGGACTGTACTGGAGGAAGTGTATTTAAGGAAATATAATCCCACTTGGACCTGATTTCAATTGTGAGATTCTGGATGTTGAGCAGATGCTATAATAGCATGAAACTTCTGGGGACTCTGGAAGGAGTTGACTCCGTTTTGCATGTGGGAAGGATAGGAACTTTGGTGCCCTGCGGCATCCTGCAGGTTGGCCCACATGGATCCCCACCTCCTGGTATTAGTACTCTGGAGTCTTCCCCCAACAACTGCACCGCAGTTAGTCTGTGACCAATAGCTCACAGCAGAAATGACAGCGTGTCACTTCTGATACTAACTTATTTTTATAAGTGTGATTTACCTCTCTCTCTCTCTCTCTGTCAGATCACTTGCTCTGGGAGAAGCCAGCAGCCCTGTGAAGAGGGCCAGGTGGTGAAAAACTGAGGTTGCTGGCCAAAGACCAAGGCTTCTTTCCAACGGCCATTTGCCTGGGCCCTCTCGGACACAGATCCTTTAATCCCAGTGCAGTTTCAGATGACTGCAGCTCTGGCCAGCATCTTGACAGTAACCTCCTGAGACAGCCTGAGCCAGAACCACCTAGCTAAGCCACTCCCAGATTCCTGACCCTCAGAAACGGTATGAAATACTGATTTTTTTTTTAAGTCACTGTGTGCATTAACCATGCATTTCTGATGCTTTGACATCTGGGTCTTGCTGACCCTGAAGAGACTGTCCCTTCCAGGGCTAGTCAATCCCTAGAGGATGCACACATTTCATATTCAAACCAACTAATCCAAAACCCATACCCAGCTACCTCCCTTACTGGGTTCTCAGAGGGCTCCCACACTCTATCTGCACTATCTATCTTCACTAACTGCTTCAGGGCCAGGAACCAGAGCCACTGAAGTGATTCAGACTAGCCAGTCCTAAGCCTGCTTCCCCTGCCTTGCCTTCCTTCCCGTGGAAACCACAATAAAGGTCTTGCTCACACTTTCCCCTCCCTCCCTCTGCCTCCTGGCTGACTCTGGTGTTTCCCCAGGTGGCCCATCTGAGGCCTGGTGTGCTCCCTTCTCTTGGGATGTATAACAAACTCTCTTTTCAATGGTAGTCACCTCCCAAGCTGTAGACCTTGCCATAACTAAATAATACTATAACCTACATTTAAAATACTGAGATTTGGATAATTTGTCACACAGCATTAGAGAACTAATACACTTAAACAATTCTGCGAGGGAAGTGGGTAACATACACTTTTCCTTCATGCTGTGGAAATTGCCATCCCAAATGGCCATTTCAAATTGTGTTGAATTGGCCATCCCAAAATGTGTCTCTTTGGCTTGATTATTTTTAAGATCAAAGACTCTGAAAGAAACTTTGACCTTCCCCGCAACTGCCTAGAAGAATTTAAAATAGAAGGGCCTGTTCCAGGAAGGAGCTAATACCATAAGATAATTGTAATGTAATATAAAATATGTCTCTCAGGTCACATTGTCTATAGTTGGCCCATTTGCTTTTCCATCTCCATGTAAATTGCCTTCCTCCCCCTTAAAGTCTCAAACCACTACCCCCAACATCCTCCTTTGTCTTTAGCTTAAAATAGTATTTAAGATGGCAGTGTTGGCCATTTGGGCGAGTTACTCAGTTTTCCTGGGTTTCTCCCATGTATACGGGTTATTAAAGCTTTGTTTGATTTTCTCCTGTTATTCTGTCTCATGTCAATTTAATTCTTAGACCACCCAGAAGGACCTAGAGGTTAGAGGAATTGTCTTCCTCCCCTACAATACCACAATACCATCTTTACATCTAACAAAATTAAAATTATTCCTTGATATCGTCTAATACTTAAGTCATCTTATAAATGTCCTTCATCTCCCTAAAAATGCCTTTGCATCTGGTTTTTTATGAACAGGATCCATATAAGGTCCACATATTGCATTCAATGTTAAGTTTTTCAGGTCTCTTTTCAAGGTAGAATTTTCAAAGAGGCAAAAACATGAGTCCCTTTTAATATATAAAGTAACCAGCTATCAAATAGTTAAATAACTCATTACTGAGGGAAGCAGCAGGATGGTTAAACTGGTTAAAAGAAACTTTGAGAGAATGAAGTGTTGGAAAATGATTACTAAGTTAGATTTTTCAAAAACTGGTTAACAACTTCCAAGGCAATAAAACTGATAATCAAAACGTTTTTTGGTTATCTTTACAACCAGACAGAAATCATTTGCATCTCTACCAGACAAAATTAATCTCAACTGCTAGCAGATGAGAATCATTTGCATCACTATCAGTTTTGTGTGTTACTCTCTTCCCTCGCAGAATTGTAAAATATCTTAATTAATCTTAAATCGTCTGAAATGAAGGTGGACACCCTAGAGTGTTAGAAACTGCCCCAGCATGCCATTGAAAGGACAGGACATTGTCATCCATTTTCTATTTTCAGGTTATGAGATTTTCTTTTTTCTAAACACTGTTTTCATCTAGAATAGTCTCCCCATCGAGTTGTTATCCTGGAGAAGCTCTCACATTCTAATTTTATCCTCTTCCCTCTATTGTACTTCAAGCAAGTGACATTTTTAAATCAATATCTAGTTGCTAAAAATAGCACATTATTAAATGAATGAAATGTTTTTGTGTGTGTCAATAAGACATTAAATCATCATGGGATGTTGAAATAGCGTTTTATTAATTTACTCATTTTATCATTAACCTCAAATTACAATACTTAGGATTCCCTTTTGGTATTCTGAGGTAGGGGATGTGGGCTTGTTTTGAAGGCGTAACTCTGAGATCTTCATTCGATCTCAATTGTCCTCTCAAACACAATTCTCCCCTCTTTTTTTTCCAGGATTCCTTCAGTGCCTAACAGACAGAGGTTTCCTGGTGGTTTTCTCTGAAATCCTGGGCTGGAAGTTTGAGGGGGCTCTCTCCTTCCCTACCCTGATGCATCCACCGCTCTTCTTTCTCAGACTTTCACTAAAGGTCCTGGAACTTCTGCTTTTTGTAAAGTACGTTGGCTTTTCTCCTTAACACCAATTTCTGATTTCTTCTACCTCTCCTATATGGCTTTAATGTCTTCACTGGGGCTTAGCTGCCTGATTTAGCAGCGGGAACCCCACAAATACACCAGGTGTTTCTTCCTGTGCTTCTGTCAGGAAGAGAGTTCCTTGAAGTTAATGAGGCACTCACTTGCAAGGAATATCAGATAAAAGAAGAGCATTTACCTTTAAAGTAGAAGTTCTCATTTCTCTTATGGGCAAACCAAGGATGGGAACCTAATTCCTCAGCCTTGAATTTGAGAACCTCACCCTGAATTTGACCCCAAATTATCCTAATATATTTATCTACTTTTTATTTTGAAAGTATGAAAAAGTCGAGAATTAGTACAATGAACACATATATACTCTCCACTGAATTCAAATGTTAATATTTTGCTCCATTTGGTTTCTCTCTCTTTTTTTCCTAAGTTGCTTGAAAATAAGTTGCAGACATCATGACATTTCACCACTGAATACTTTGCACGATCTCTAAGGATAAGACCCTTCTTCCACATCACCACCACTCCACTGTCACATGAACATCCTCAACAGTTCTCTAATTCATCTAATATTTATTTCACATTCAATTTTCCCCAATTGTCCCCCAAATGACTGCCATGGCTTTTTTTAAAAATTCAGGATCCAATCAAGATTCACACATTCCTTTTGGTTCCTGTATCTGTTTTAACCTAAAGTAACCCCAGTGGTGATTTTAAAATAAGTCCACAAACTTTGATTCTCCTGATTCAGAAGATGGAACTTCCCCTTGAGCGTGGGCTGTACTTAGTGACTCACTTCTAATAAACAGAACGTAGCAGAAGTGACAGCTTGTGCCTTCTGAGACTTGGTCATACCAGGCATTAGAGCTTTCTTGGACCACGGTATGAGATACTCTTCCTTGTTTAAGTAGCTAAGTTTTGGGGCTATTTATAACTGTGTTATCTACAGCAATAGATAACTAATACAATGTCCATTTAACTTACTCCTCTACCTATACCACCCTCCCCCACCCCCCATTTTTCCTGTGACCTGGAAGCTAAATTTACAAGATTGATGAAGTTCACATTGACCATTTTGGCAAGAGTCTTTATAGGTTAAGAACTTCACGTTCTACTCCATCAGGAAATACATGTTAGGCGTCCCACTATGAGTGGTATAAAGTTTGATTACTTGGTTCCATTGCTAAAAGTCTTGTACCACGTGGTAAACCTTATCCTTCAAGAATCCTCTCCCACCTGAGCAAACACCATAAGGGGAGTCACTTCTCCACTCCACCCATGCTGGGCTCTGCCATGTGACTTGCTTGGCCAATAGGATGTTAGCACACATGATGCAAACAGCAACTTGAAGCTAGTTGTGTTTGGGGCCGCCCTCTTGTGCTTCTGCCATCCCCACAAGAAAAGCTTTTCCCAGGTAGATGCCATCCCCTGAACCTGAGCCCCCGATGGATTCATCCCTTGAAGCAGGACCCTGCGACCAAGTCCAGCTTAGATCAGCTGGCCTGTAGATCTGTGAAAATAAATCATTCTTGTTTTCAGTTACTTCATTTTGGGGTTATTTTAGGTAGCATTTTTGGAGGAGGATACACGACACAACTAACAAGACTGTTGCTACGAGTAGACGTGGTTCAACACCTCTTTTCTCAGACACTCAGCCTCCTAATCCGCAGACATAGGCACCCGGTAGCCATGTTTAGATTGCAAGATCGTGCCCCCAGGGCCATGGTGGGCCAAACCAGAGTGGACACCTGACCCAATCAAGCCTTTGGTTTTGGGGTGAGTGAAAACTAAGTAGTTTCTCTGTGTGGCTGGAATAGCAACACACAAATGCAGGAGCTATGGAGTGGCCATATTCAACATGGAAGCAGGTCTAAAGTGAGAAAAAACAATGAAGCAAACACAAAGATAAATCGAGAGGGTCCTGCCAGCATTCTGGGTCCTGGTTCCCATCTCTTTCTTTTTTTTTTCTTAAAGGTTGGCACCTGAGCTAACAACTGTTGCCAATCTTTCTTCTTCCCCTTCTCCTTCTCCTCCCCAAAGCCTCCCAGTACAGAGTTATATATTTTAGTTGTGGGTCCTTCTAGTTGTGCCCATCCCTTTCTGAGGCCCAGATCCTTTCTTGACCTTCAGTTCTAGCAAACCGTATCCTTACAACAATGCCCCCTTTATGCATAAGATAATGTCACTGGGTTTCCATACTTGCAACTCAAGAGTCTTGATACACATGCCTAAACCTACCTCACTCAGGTGTGCCCCTGAACATACCTGTGCTAGTTTCCTGGGGCTGCCCTAGCAAATACCAGCAATTTGGTGGCTTGAAACAACATTAATGTATTCTCTCACAGTTCTGGAGACTGGCCACACTCCCTCTGAGGGATCTAAAGAAGAATCCTTCCTTATCTTTTCTAGCTTCTGGAGGCTCCAGGCATTCCTTGACTTGTGGCTGCATAGCTCTAATCTCTAACTCCATTGTCATATGGCCTTCTCTGTCTGGATCTTCTCTTCTTCTGTCTCTTATAAGGGCGCTTGTCAGATTTAAGGCCCACCTAGATCATCCAGGATGATCTCATCTCAAGATCCCTAACTTAATTACGTCTACAAAGACTCTTTTTCAAAATAAGGTCACATTCACAGGGTCCGACTATTAGGACATGGACCTCATACCTCATGCAGGCTTCTCACCAGGCCTCAGCCAGTGGAACAGCCTCATAAATTGGTACATGTATGATATACAAAATTCAACTGGATAGCATTTTAAATACCCATAAGAGTTGGGTGTGCTCTGAAAAAATCAGAGAAAGCAAGACTCCAATAGGTTTAAAATTCCTTCATGTCAAAAGGAACAGGCATTTACATATTTTAGGATCCCTATTAAGTCATAAGTGTTTGAATTAAGCGATGTGTGTTACTGGAGCAGAGGAATGTGAGCTACACCAACACACTTTGTTGAGGCTGTTGAGTCATTGACTAAACAATTTTAAAAAGGGTTCCACATGACTGTCAGGCAGTGAGAAATCCATTCTAGATCTCTGCAGCATCAGGACTTATGTTTGCCTGAAGCCACTGGCCTGAGTAGCCTCTGTTAACTGGCATGGTCACTATCCACTCCTGTGGGTAAACATCTTTTAGTAGAAGAAGATTTAGAATTAAGTCTCAAAAACTTCATGAGAATCAAAACTGTAGTATTATCATGAAATTTGTTAAGTAGGATATGTGCATGTTTGGTATTTTATGTTCTTGGAATAGATAAGAGAATTTGACCTATTGGAAGGTCAGCCATGAATCCCCAATTTAAAATGTGTACAATTAATTTAGACTTGTGATTCAAGGACGAAGTCTTACTAGGTCCATTTACCATATTGAAACGATTAAGAGAACTTAAGTTTTGCTTCCTTTGTAAGTTTAATTTATTAGATTCCCTGTAATTATTTAGCATTCGGGAATGTTTTTTGTCATTAATTCAGACAACAAAAATACTTTAAAAGGAAATCAGTTATGTTACGTTTATAAATGCAGTTAAAAAGATTTGAAGATGGTTAATTAACTAAGTTAGTAAATGAAACCAAGTATGATCCAAAGACCTCTTGAAACGGACGCCTCAGATTTGCTAGATGTATAACAAGAAAAATGAGATCTGTGACTTGACTTTAATAACTAAGAGAGAATAAGGATTTGGGATTTGTAACTTTCATATAGTGAAAATTAAAATGTAAAGCCAAAATAAACATCTGCATGGTTCTTTCTGTACCCAAAAAACTACCCTCAAGGATACCAAGAAACGTAACAAATCCATGCCGTCTTTTACCTATTTCTGGCTGGCAATATATTGAATACTTTCTAAGGGCCATCCAAAGTGCATCAACTTCTTAAAAACTTTTCGATCTCCTCATCTTCAGATCATGTGTACAACTGCTCTGTTCCAAACCACCATTTTACTTTATTTGTGTCCGTTACACGGCCTCGATCCTCGCCTTGAGCTGTCGATTTGTGGGGTTGTAGTAAGTCAGGGTGGTGATTAACAAAAGATATTTATTTAATAAAAGTGATAATGCAAAGGAAATGCTCATTTAACCCCCCAAAACTACTAGAATAAACACTTTATATAAAAGTCAAAGTATCATTAACTATGGTTTAATGTTTCTGCTGCTAAGGTAGTTTTGAAATGAACAGCATTACAGTTTTATGAATTTAAATGGAGAGATATTTATAGCAGCTCTGTTCATAATTGCCCCAAATGGGAAACAACCCAAACATCTTTCAATGAGTGAAGAGATATACGGTGGTGGTGCATTTATATAATGGAATACTACTCAGAGATAAAAAAGAACAATTTATTTATACACCCAACACATGACCGGGTGAGTGAAAGAAGCCAGTCTCAAAAAGTCACATACATGATTCTGTGTATATGACATTTTTGAAAGGCTAAGCGGTAGGAGCGGAGCACACGGCAGAGGTTGCCAGGGGCTGGGGACTTGACAACGAAAGGCAGTTATGGGAGTTTTTTGGGTTGGTGGAAATATTCTTGATCCTGATTGTGGTGGTGGATACGCATACCTACACATTGGTTAAAACACACAGAACTTTGCCCAAAATCAAACATGTATTTTACAGTATGTAAATTTAAAATACATAAAGAAACAAATATAAAAAAGTCTAAACAGTAATTCCTTAACTTGCTCTTTTTCTCTAGGTATTTGTTGCTCAGTATTCTGGTGAACAAAGGAATAAATTCTGTTAGCGAATTTCTTAATTTCAAGAGAACCCCATGAACGGAGTATTGTCCAGTCATGTGTTTCTTTTTCAATAAAACAACAAAGAGGTCCTTCCTGAAATCCTGATACTGGGAGATAAGTTTTAACTTGAATTCCTGCAGGAGAGAAAGGTCACGATGTCAGGGTGAGAACACAGTGCCTGCACAGTGAGGCTGAGAGCTGCTGTGAGGGAAGTGCCAGCATCGAAGAGGGCAGAAAGGAGAGCATGATTTTGCTAAGTCAAAGCCAAGTGCAAAAGAGGACAGGTTCAAACTCCTTTGGGTTGGAAGTGAGCAAAGCATTGGTGAGGACAAAATGAGAAGCAATTGATGAACTCTTTTATCAGTTTCTCTTTCTTTCTCCCTAACCAGCCCTTAGTCTGAATAATAAAACTTCTCAGTTCTTTTTTTAAAGATTGGCACCTGAGCTAACATCTGTTGCCAACCTTCTTTTTTTCCTTCTTCTTCCCGCCAAGGCGCCGCAGTAAGTAGTCGTATATTCAAGTTGTAGGTCCTTCTGGCTGTGCTATGTGAGACACCACCCCAGCATGGCCTGATGAATAGTGCCATGTCCACGCCCAGGATCCAAACCAGTGAAACCCTGGGCAGCCGAAGCAGAGCGTGTGAACTTAACCTCTTGGCCATGGGG